TGTATGACCCCATGAAATGTCCTGAGGTAATGGTGCCATGTCGGGCCTCTAGGCACAGAAATAGTAGTAGCTGTAGTAAGTGTAGTAAGTGTAGTATCTGTAGTAAGTGTAGTAAGTGTAGTATAGTTAGTGTAGTAAGTGTAGTAGCTGTAGTAAGTGTAGTAAGTGTAGTATCTGTAGTAGCTGTAGTAAGTGCAGTAAGTGTAGTAGCTGTAGTAGCTGTAGTAAGTGTAGTATCTGTAGTAGCTGTAGTAATGTAGTAAGTGTAGTATCTGTAGTAAGTGTAGTAAGTGTAGTATCTGTAGTCAGTGTAGTAAGTGTAGTATCTGTAGTAGCTGTAGTAAGTGTAGTAAGTGTAGTATCTGTAGTAAGTGTAGTAGCTGTAGTAGCTGTAGTAAGTGTAGTGAGTGTAGTATCTGTAGTAAGTGTAGTAAGTGTAGTAGCTGTAGTAAGTGTAGTAAGTGTAGTATCTGTAGTAGCTGTAGTAAGTGCAGTAAGTGTAGTAGCTGTAGTAGCTGTAGTAAGTGTAGTATCTGTAGTAGCTGTAGTAATGTAGTAAGTGTAGTATCTGTAGTAAGTGTAGTAAGTGTAGTAGCTGTAGTAAGTGTAGTAAGTGTAGTAGCTGTAGTAGCTTTAGTAAGTGTAGTATCTGTAGTAGCTGTAGTAGCTGTAGTAAGTGTAGTATCTGTAGTAGCTGTAGTAATGTAGTAAGTGTAGTATCTGTAGTAAGTGTAGTAAGTGTAGTAGCTGTAGTAAGTGTAGTAAGTGTAGTAGCTGTAGTAGCTGTAGTAAGTGTAGTATCTGTACATGTAGTAGCTGTAGTAAGTGTAGTATCTGTAGTAAGTGTAGTAAGTGTAGTATGTGTAGTAAGTGTAGTAAGTGTAGTATCTGTAGTAAGTGTAGTAAGTGTAGTAGCTGTAGTATCTGTAGTAGATGTAGTAGCTGTAGTAAGTGTAGTAAGTGTAGTAGCTGTAGTAACTGTAGTAAGTGTAGTAGCTGTAGTAAGTGTAGTAAGTGTAGTAGCTGTAGTAAGTGTAGTAAGTGTAGTAGCTGTAGTATCTGTAGTAAGTGTAGTATCTGTAGTAGCTGTAGTAAGTGTAGTATCTGTAGTAAGTGTAGTAAGTGTAGTAGCTGTAGTAAGTGTAGTATCTGTAGTAGCTGTAGTAAGTGTAGTAAGTGTAGTATCTGTAGTAAGTGTAGTAAGTGTAGTATCTGTAGTAGCTGTAGTAAGTGTAGTAAGTGTAGTATCTGTAGTAAGTGTAGTAGCTGTAGTAGCTGTAGTAAGTGTAGTATCTGTAGTAAGTGTAGTAAGTGTAGTGAGTGTAGTATCTGTAGTAAGTGTAGTAAGTGTAGTAGCTGTAGTAAGGGTGTAGTAGTGTGTGGTATCTGTAGTGGCTGTAGTAAGTGCAGCAGTGGTCTGTAGTAGCTGTTGTGGCTGTAGTAAGTGTAGTATCTGTAGTAGCTGTAGTAATGTAGTAAGTGTAGTATCTGTAGTAAGTGTAGTAGCTGTAGTAAGTGTAGTAAGTGTAGTAGCTGTAGTAATGTAGTAAGTGTAGTATCTGTAGTAAGTGTAGTAGTAGTGTAGTAGCTGTAGTAAAATTGTAGTAAGTGTAGCAGCTGTAGTAGCTTTAGTAGGGTGTAGTATACCTTGGTGGCTGTGTAGCTGTAGTAGAGGTGTATTATCTGTAGCTGTGGCCCAATGTAGTAGTGTAGTATCTGTAGTAAGTGTAGTAAGTTAGTAGCTGTAGTAAATTGAGGTGTAGTAGCTGTAGTATCTGTACATGGGGTGTAGTATCTGTACATGTAAGCTGTGAGATGTAGTAGAGGTGAGTATCTGTAGTAAGGTGTAGTAAGTGTAGTATCTGTAGTAAGTGTAGTAAGTGTAGTATCTGTAGTAAGTGGTGTAGTAAGTGTAGTATCTGTAGTAGTAAGTGTAGTAAGTGTAGTAGCTGTAGTATCTGTAGTAAGTGTAGTAGCTGTAGTAAGTGTAGTAGGTGTAGTAGCTGTAGTAGCTGTAGTAAGTGTAGTATCTGTAGTAAGTGTAGTAAGTGTAGTAGGTGTAGTAGCTGTAGTAGCTGTAGTAAGTGTAGTAGCTGTCGTACGTGTAGTAAGTGTAGTAAATGTAGTAAGTGTAGTAGCTGTAGTAAGTGTAGTAAGTGTAGTATCTGTAGTAAGTGTAGTAAGTGTAGTAAGTGTAGTATCTGTAGTAAGTGTAGTAGCTGTAGTATCTGTAGTAGGTGTAGTAAGTGTTTTAAGTGTAGTATCTGTAGTAGGTGTAGTAAGTGTAGTAAGTGTAGTAGCTGTAGTAAGTGTAGTAAGTGTAGTAGCTGTAGTAAGTGTAGTAGCTGTAGTAAGTGTAGTAAGTGTAGTATCTGTAGTAAGTGTAGTAAGTGTAGTAGCTGTAGTAAGTGTAGTAAGTGTAGTATCTGTAGTAAGTGTAGTAAGTGTAGTAGCTGTAGTAAGTGTAGTAACTGTAGTAGCTGTAGTAAGTGTAGTAAGTGTAGTATCTGTAGTAAGTGTAGTAAGTGTAGTAGCTGTAGTAAGTGTAGTATCTGTAGTAGCTGTAGTAAGTGTAGTATCTGTAGTAAGTGTAGTAAGTGTAGTAGCTGTAGTAAGTGTAGTATCTGTAGTAGCTGTATTAAGTGTAGTAAGTGTCAGTGGCGAATCTAGACCTTCAGATATGGGGGGGCGGTCATCTAGACCCTGAGGTTAGGGGGAGCAGTCTCCGAAAAATTTTTTTTCGGCCCTTTGGCACTCATTTTGGTCGAAAAATAAGGGAGGGCAGGCCCCCGGGTCCCTTCCCTGGATCCGCCACTTAGTGTAGTAGCTGTAGTAAGTTTAGTATGTGCAGTAGTACAGCTTTTACACCTACTACACTACACACTGACAATTTGTTTGCCTTGTTTTACAATAGAGGAAAAAAAATAATCAATAAACATGCCTCCTTAAAACCGGTCTCTAAACGCCAAGAGAAGTATTGGCTAAGCCGTGGAGAACTAAACGAATAAGAACGTATATAAAGGAAAATAACAAGCTGCTTTCCATGGATGATCACAAGTTATATTTATTCAGTTTATTCTATGTTCTTCGGTGTGAAGTTGTATAGAAATGAAATATTGACTCTAACACGTGCACGTGTAAGTAAGAAATTATATTTCCATAACTATTTCCAGGAAAACGTCAACAATATCAAGAACACCTGATGGCATCAATAATAAGATGAATTCTTTTTGATTTTCTATACAATCGTTTCCAAGTTTCAAAACACTCAACAATTAACTGAATCAACAAAACGTAATTTAATGCGCATAACTTCCCTTCTTTGCAGAAAACTGAAGAGTTAGATACTCGTATGCTAAGTAATTTTATAGCCCAATGCTTTGTGAAAGAACGTTTGTTTAGTTTTTTTCCTCGGGTCTTTAACACAACGTTTAAAAATCTATTGTTTGCTAATCTGTTATTTGAGTACGTTCTTCTTTTTTTCCAGTTGTCGTAGTTTCCCGGCAATCTGTAGATTATTCTTTGCTCTGATTGGAAACTTTGATTCTTTACAGATACTGGAATTTGCAATGTGGTTGAATAGATGTACGACGTTATCAAGTGACGGAGAGACCAATGTAGATGCCAAAAATGATGCAACTGTCATGAGAAGGCATTGCTCATAGACAGTCCACAACTTCTGATTGGGCTCAACATTAACGGATGTTAGATAATCAGCGCTGCGAACTCTCTTATAAGGGGATGCACTTTCCCTTTTCCTTTTCCTCTTTACGGGACTAATTACACTTTTTTTATTCTCTCCACTAGGGTTTCCACAATTCTTGCACGCACAAGCTATATTGCATCCTTGGTTTGCCTTCAGACAAGGGCACCTAGATCTTCTTCTCCCGTCAACACACGCGACGAATTTCGGATCACTTTTCTGAAAAGCTTCCGAGGAAGATGAAAGGGACGAGAAAGGAGGGCTTCAAGGAAACTCTAGCGAGAGTGGAGACGCTTCCGGGGAGGATGAAGGGGCGGAAAACAGAAGAGAAAAAGGAAGCTGTGGAAAGAACTGAGGAGCTTTCGAGGAAGATGAAAGGGCCGAGAAAAGAGGGCGGCGAGGAAGCTGTGATGAGAGTAGAGAGAAAGCCAGAGAAGAAGAAAGGGGGGAAAACAGAGGAGAAGAAGACAGCTGTTGGTAGAAAGGAAGAGCTTCCGAGGAAGATGACAGGGCCGATAAAAGAAGGCAGGAATAAAGCGGTAAAGAGAGCAGAGAGAATCCCGATGAAGATGAAAGGGCGGAAAACAGAGGAGAAGAAGGAAAACAGAAGACAAGAAGGAAGCTCTGGAGAGATTGAAGATAGAGAGGTAAGTGTTCCCAGTGCTTAATAAACTGAATTAAACACATATTCACTTCACACAATACTTTTCAGAAGAGGATAAATAGGGAGAGTAACAGCGGCAAAGAATTTACCACCAACACCATTATATGCACCGGAAACATCTATAAGTAAACCGAGTAAGAGGCCTGTCATACTTCTTACTTGGTTTTTCACTTTCTTTCGTTCTGATAGGTGTCATTTGGACCAACCGTAAGACGTAAATACAAACATCTGGACAAAACTGTGGAAGATAAATTAGGTGAGAGTAACCTATTACCTGTTACATGAATTTTAACCATAGCAAAACTTATGCCCCATGAGAATGGAATATCATGTAAAGGTGACTCCTTAAGTTTTCTGCCCTGATTGTACCCAGTTTCATGAAACATGTTTTGTTTGTTGGTGTGCTAAATGGAACTAAAACTTTATTTCGGAAATAGAGGCTCTAGAGGGTTTATGTCCTCTATGACATCAAATCATTTGCGGAAACCAATGGTTAAAATTTCTTCTTTGGCTTTTCAATGTCAACATTCGTACCGGAGTTGTGTGAAATTTATAGTCAGCAATGATGACCCTTTAAGTGATCTGAATTCTGGAAATTAAAATGTGCCACTATTGTTCGGAATCACTGTTGCTCGGGTAGCCTGAGAACAGGCTCTATTGGGGTATAGGCGGAAGACAATGCTTAAAAAAAGAAGAAGGAGAAGGAGAAGGGGCAAGGATGTGAAAAGGGAAGGGCAGCCGGTTTGTTACGCTGTTGCTGTGGTAGATCTGTTACTCAGTTCTACAAAGTAGTCCTTTTATGCCAATCATGTCCAGCTGATGTTAAACTTTCGATGTCGTTTGCCACGCTAACACTGCTCTAAAATTGAACTTCTGCTGTGGGTTCTAAGAAGAGTTTTCCCCTCACTGTACTTTGCGAACCACTTCGACTAACAAAATGTAACAATTCTAAAAAAGCTAATTTGGGGCGAATAGCTCACTCACGCGATGTTTTTCTTATACAGAAGAGAGGAAGTCTAGGAAAACGAAAAGAAACTATGTCACGAAAGAACAAGACACCAAGAAGGCACGACTGGAGGGGGATTCATAACAACTTAATCGCCATGCACAAAGCAACCTTTATTGAATCAGCTATATATTTAACAATTATTCCTCGCCGAGCCCGAATGGGTTCTGAGTTAATAGCCCCTTAGGCAGAAGGCCGAATGGGCTATTGATTCACGGGCCATGAGGGTGAGAGGAATAATTGTTTAAGTCAAATCCAACTACTAGGTCAAAAATATTGAGACAAGACAATTTTAGCTAGCGAAACGCGAATAAACCGCCATTGTTTTGGTTTTCAAAGCCGGCGCTTTTCGCCTTTAGTGGGCTATAACATATAGCGTAGTGGTAGCTAAACCAATCAGAACGCAGTTGGATTTTACTAATGTCAATTAGTTTCTGGTGCTTAAAGTGGCAAGGTCCAAGTCTTTTTCAACATCTTCTTCGTAGCAGAAATTGCAAAAAGAAAAAAAAGGAAAATATCTTTTCTAAAACTCGTCCAATTGTTTAACAGTATTACAACAACTGCAACTTGCACTTTATTCAGCTGGCGTTCTTTCGATTGACCATAGCCAAGGCTTTCAAACACGCACGTACCCACACACTAAACAAGGAAGAAGGAAGTATTTCTACGTACGTAGGTTTCGAGTATGTGATAGCAAGTCAGATGTCTGCACTGAATGTGGAGTGATAATAGTTAAAACTTTAAAATGTTATATCAGATGTCGCATTTCGTTCCATAAATAAACTTTAGCAACTTTTCCATTTATTTCACGCGTATATCGAATATTTTCAAGTTTGATACTGCAGGTGGTTACAGTATCTCAGAAACTAAGGGAGTGCCAAGGGACTTAAAAATCGTTCTTTGCAAGCATCGGCGTTTCGTTATATAGGGTTATATTGTATAATAATAATGAGGGTGAGATCCTAGAGCGAGCATCTCTTATTCGTGTCACGGCGTTTACAAAGACCAGTTTATATAATCTAGACCATCAAATACGTTTAACGAACTAGTCAGCAAAAGGTACAGACCGGAAAATGGTACTGACATTTTTCATGTTAATTACATTTCCTTTGCTTTCTTCACATTTTATGACTTTTATAATTTAGATGTGTGAACAGCCGAAATGTTTTTAAAAACAGACTGCTCTGTGAAAACGCCGTGACACAAGCCCGAGCACGATGGCAGTTACTCGGACTTTCACTGTAAATTTTAAAAGCTGTGCTTTTATTCACAGTGGACTAGGGGTTGACATCTGACTAAAGTCATCTTGAAATTTTCTTGTGTATGTCTTGATAGTTTTTGGCAAAGGTTTGAACTGATTGAAACAATTCGTATCAATGAAAAGGACTCAGACAAGTAAATAAAAGGTTCCGAATCATCACTTTTTTAAATATAGGTGACATGCTTGCAGGACTCCACTGCGCGTTTATTAGCCCTGTGCACAATTTGGCCTTAACGAGTATGTCTTTCAGCTAAAGCCCCCTCCTGTAACAAATGATTTATTTAGCAGTTTTTTAAAATAATTCCGTTTCAGCAAAGGATCAGTTTGTAGAGTCTGTTTAATTATGTAATATTCCTCTTTTTGCAAATTAATTGTGTTTAAATAATGCATTACTGAGAGGTTTTGTGTAAAAAACGGCAAAAATAAGAGTCGTGTAAAATTTTAGTCCAATTTAGCCACAAACTATTAAAAACACAGATTACATACTATAAAGACAGTTTGTTTTTGTTGTTTTTTTCTTTTGGGGAGGGGGGAAGGTTCGGAGAAGGGGCGGTTCCTCCACCCCCATCACTTTTCCTAGTGGTCCGTCCATTTTTAGCAATTTAAGGAGGACTTCCAGAGCTAAGAGCTTGTATTTGACAGATTCTTTCGATTTGGTCACCTGAATCAGAAGGTTGTGAAAAATGCTAGGGGATGGTTCTGACAAATTCTAGGCTCTCGTTCTCTCCCAAGGCTAGGATTTTACCTTTCGCTGCTCCTTTATGTTTCCGCTTGTGGCCGCGATGCTCATACGAACAGCTGTTATTACAGCTGCGACAGCATATTATCAATCAGCGGTAACTTGTTTGACATAAAAAGTACTAAAAAAATAGATACTTACTACATATTAAACCGAGAGAGAAGTCTTTAGGGGGACAACTCAAACTGAGGTCTTGCTGTATTGACTGAGCTATAGACCAAGACCGATGTGTGAGATTTTCCTGTAAAGACTGAGCGTTCGAGGTTAACTAGCTATTTAATACCTGGGCTTTTTTGGCCAAGATGATTCACGCGGAAGTGAACAGTTGACCAAAGCGTTTTCCGTCCATAAAAATCTTTTTTGTGGCTGAGACTCCATCACCTATGTATAAAAAGGTGGAGCAAGCGTTGTGGTTTCCTCCACAACTTTTGGAAGTCTCAATCATAAGTGTAGTAGCTGTAAGAGCTGTAGTACTATAAATACTATACTTACTATAGCTACTACATTCAGTAGGAAGGGCCCAGGGGCCTGCCCCCCTTATTTTTCGACGAAAATGAGGCCCGAAGGGCCGAAAAAAATTTTTTTGAAGACTGCCCCCTCCCCTAATCTCGGGGTCTGGATGAGTGCCCCCCCTTTATCTCACGATCTGGATTCGCCACTGACACTTACTACAGGTACTACAGCTATTACACTTACTACACCTACTACACTTACTACACTTACTACAGATACTACACTTACTACACTTACTACACTTACTACAGATACTACACTTACTACACTTACTACAGCTACTACACTTACTACAGTTACTACACTTACTACAGATACTACACTTACTACACTTACTACAGCTACTACACTTACTACAGTTACTACACTTACTACAGATACTACACTTACTACACTTACTACAGATACTACACTTACTACACTTACTACAGATACTACACTTACTACAGATACTACACTTACTACACTTACTACAGCTACTACAGATACTACACTTACTACACCTACTACACCTACTACAGATACTACACCTACTACACTTACTACACTTAGTACAGATACTACACTTACTACACTTACTACAGCTACTACACTTACTACACTTACTACACTTACTACAGATACTACACTTACTACACTTACTACAGCTACTACACTTACTACACTTACTACACTTACTACAGATACTACACTTACTACACTTACTACAGCTACTACAGATACTACACTTACTACAGCTACTACACCTACTACACTTACTACACTTACTACAGCTACTACACTTACTACACTTACTACAGCTACTACACTTACTACACTTACTACAGATACTACACTTACTACACTTACTACAGCTACTACACTTACTACACTTACTACACTTACTACAGCTACTACACTTACTACACTTACTACAGCTACTACAGATACTACACTTACTACACTTACTACAGCTACTACACTTACTACACTTACTACAGCTACTACACCTACTACAGATACTACAGCTACTACACTTACTACACTTACTACAGCTACTACACCTACTACAGATACTACAGCTACTACACTTACTACACTTACTACAGATACTACACTTACTACACTTACTACAGCTACTACACTTACTACACTTACTACAGCTACTACAGCTACTACACTTACTACACTTACTACAGCTACTACACTTACTACACTTACTACAGATACTACACTTACTACACTTACTACAGATACTACACTTACTACACTTACTACAGCTACTACACTTACTACACTTACTACAGCTACTACAGATACTACACTTACTACACTTACTACAGCTACTACACTTACTACACTTACTACAGCTACTACACCTACTACAGATACTACAGCTACTACACTTACTACACTTACTACAGCTACTACATCTACTACAGATACTACAGCTACTACACTTACTACACTTACTACAGATACTACACTTACTACACTTACTACAGATACTACACTTACTACACTTACTACAGATACTACACTTACTACACTTACTACAGCTACTACAGCTACTACACTTACTACACTTACTACAGCTACTACACTTACTACACTTACTACAGATACTACACTTACTACACTTACTACAGATACTACACTTACTACACTTACTACAGCTACTACACTTACTACACTTACTACAGCTACTACAGATACTACACTTACTACAGCTACTACAGCTACTACACTTACTACACTTACTACAGCTACTACACTTACTACACTTACTACAGATACTACAGATACTACACTTACTACACTTACTACAGATACTACACTTACTACACTTACTACAGCTACTACAGCTACTACAGATACTACACTTACAAAAGCTACTACAGCTACTACACTTACTACACTTACTACAGCTACTACACTTACTACACTTACTACAGATACTACACTTACTACATTACTACAGCTACTACAGATACTACACTTACTACAGCTACTACAGCTACTACAGATACTACACTTACTGAAGCTACTACAGCTACTACACTTACTACACTTACTACAGCTACTACACTTACTACATTACTACAGCTACTACACTTACTACACTTACTACAGCTACTACACTTACTACACTTACTACAGCTACTACACTTACTACAGTTACTACACTGCTACAGCCACTACACTTACTACAGATACTACACTTACTACACTTACTACAGCTACACTTACTACTATTTCTGTGCCTAGAGGCCCGACATGGCACTATTACCTCAGGACATTTCATGGCACCATTACCTCAGGACATTACCTCAGGACATTTCATGGCACCATTACCTCAGGACATTTCATGGGGTCATACATGAACTACTGACCAAGTTGTACGTGTTGTGGACGTTGTTCATGTTGGACAAGCTCAGGTACGGAAAGCTGATTGAACCAAAGACAACTTAAGCAAATCAAGAGCATGCCAGTTATTTGCTTCAAGGAATCATTCGTTGAACGAACGGTATCAAAAGAAAACTCAAAAAGCATGCAAAGCAATGCAAGGAACTGTTCGCATGTTCAAGTGGACTTTCAACTTTACAACGAGGAACGTTACAGTAAGAAACAAAAGATTCATAAAGTGTATAAGTTACATATGTCGTATATATTAGCAAAGTTAGTTTTTTGATGGAGTAATAAAATTAAGTCCGTTTTGTCCTCAATGAAGATCTGTTGAAAGAATGGTTTAATTCTCAGGATTTAGCCCTCCCCACTTAACAAAAATCTTGGTACACATCTTTCTGACTGGAAACCAAGTGGTAAGATACACAACCCACATATTTAGATGAGACAGTTGATAAAATACATAAATTTATGTAGCATATTCTAGCAAACAATGAAGACAATAATTATATTTGTAAAGGTGCACATTTGAATTGGATACTCGATAGATTTTAATCAAGCCAAATCTAATGAAGAATGTACAGTGCATTCAGGGGTTTCAAAATGTTTTGAAGTAGGCGCCAACTCTGGAAAAGCAGGCAGCTGTGACAATCGAGATTGTTTGTCACGAGCTAATTGTAATGACCAGCGTAGCCGGTGATATACAGTTGAGTAGCCGGCAGAACTCTGGTCGCCGGCTTGTGTATTTACTAATAATCAATACAGTTATTGACTGAGAGATCTGGTTGCAAGCTAGATCATGAAAAGAGCTTTGAACATTAATTCCAGTCCGCTGCTTTACAAGAGGGCTCCTCTGGGGCTTGGCACTTTGGTATATTGGGGTTCGCCTGTAATGGTGATGATGATGATGATTTGTAACAGCATGTTTGTTGTGATCACTTGCCTTAAAGGTCTGACGCATTATAGTATGGCGAATTTTCTCGGTTAACAACTTATCAAATCTTATTCTTCAAAAATTCATGACCCTCATAGTCAACTTAGTTTGATATTTATCAGCCATGAGCCATAGAATGCTAGATGTGGTGTGTGTCTTGGATTATCAATGGCCCATGAGACCAAGGAGCACCTTTCATAGAAAATTCATGGCCAGAAATAAAGGCATGAAATTTAATTTTTTAGTTTTCATGGGTCATGAAATGACTTTCATGGGGTATTCACTAGAAATTCATGGCATTTTCATAAAAATATGGTTCATAGTGGTTGTATTTAAAAAGCCCTGAAAAAAATTCACATGCTCACTCTGACATGCCTAAAAGTGTTCACATGCATGTGAAAAATTTCACATACATAGCATCTATTATGCATGTGAAATTTGAAATTCACATGTATGACAAAATTGTTTCACATGCCTGAAAAGATTTCACATGTAATAAACTGCATGGGAAAAAAGTTCACACATATGACAAAAATTTTTCACATGTATTACAAAGTTTCACACGGAGGTCAAAAAGTTCACATGCATGTGAAATGCTGATGTGGTGAACTTGTATTTTTGCCAACATTGATTTCACATGGTTCCTTTTTTTCACGCACTTTTCACACCCTTTTCACATGGTTTTCACACACATAGCCCTAGTAGTGTATCTACAATAATAAAATACTAACCTGGCTGCACCTGCTCACAGAGTCCAAATTCCACAAAAGTCCCGTAAATGGTACTCTTATAAAAGAACAGTAATCATTATTCAAGAGCAATAGTTACATATTCTTTTTTTTTGTGGGGGAGGGGGGAAAGTGAGGTCCCCTAATAAAAGATAAGATCAACATCATTTAACCACATTCCGTCTAGGTCAACGAAAGCTGGCTTCCATTAATTAGGCACGCAAAATAGAGAACTAAGGAAAATTAGTAATAGAAACACATTGAATTATTTGACTTAGCTTAATTTGAGTTGTGCATGGTCATCATCTTTAATTAGCTCCTCTTATATTTAATTTACACAATATTTAGTCAGGGGTGCCCATTTGAGAGAGGCTGGTTTGAATGACGCATTTTTGATTGAGGGAGGCAGGAGAGGTAAGGGGTAGGAGAGTGGCTTTATGAAGTTTAAATTACAACTTCATGAAAAAATAACCTTGGTATAATATAGTTTACTTGAGCATTTTTTGGTCTTAGTGAACAAACATGATGTATTTGTTGCTTATCTAATCTTGTGCCAGTTATATATACATCACTGCATGACTAATTATTGTCCTCATATTAATTATTGTTTTATTTTAAAATAATTTAGGTTCAAGTGGTACAAGAGCAACACCCACATCAGCAACAGCCTCTATTACAGTTACGGCAACACCACTGTCAGTTCCTAGAGATGGCTGTAAGTTAACTGGAATTATGTCTGTGAGAGTTTGATACCTTTAAAAAAAAATTGTTGCTTTGCACTCATGATCATTGCTTTTAATTTTGTTGATGGGAGTATTTTCTGAGACAGAGCATTGAAAATCAATGTCATAATTAGCAAATACATCCATTTTGTTTTGAATCTCTGAACATTTCACTGAACGTATTCTTGTGTTGCTGTTGAATTACGTTGAAGTAAAATTAATATAACAAAACACTTGATGTCAGGCCCCTCGGGAAACCAGTTAGTTTTGTTTTACCTCAAGCCCTGATATTTCCCCAAGTGAGTCTTAAAAGGTCTTGCTTTCATAATTTACAAGCAATAAAATGTCTGATTGTTAATCGTCACCAAAATTGATAAAAATTTTAATTTCAAGGACCATTTAAATGCTCAATCCAGCACAACACTTTTTTTTTACCAGTATCGACAAGAAGGCTCCTAGCAAGATTAGCTGGACAAAACAATGCAAATGATGGTGAGTGATATTTTTATGTTATCTCTGGTTCTCTTAAAAAAACATACATAATATATAATACAAGGCTGTGCTCTAAAGAAAATTAAAGGGAGCCCGGTGCTCTTAATGTCTGAAACCGTAGGTGCCCAGCATGTGATTTGTATGAAAACTAAGATTTTCTAGTCGCCCAAGAGCAAAAGTTGGGCACCAGGGGCCACCGGGTGCTGCTACAGCACAGCCCCATATTATTATCAGAAAGTTATAACCCCTTGTGAGTTTCTGATAATTATTATATAATAAATGTAAATAAACTGAATGAAGTCCACATACCTTCAAACAATAACCACTCCAGTAGAAGGGTTGTTACCAAGATTTCAATTCAATGGTAAAGTGATATGCATGCATTAAAAAGGCAATGAGAAGTTATTTTCTTTTTCCTTGTCTGTTTGTTTGTTTTACTTCCCATGCAGGTATTTTTGGAACTTGCTCAAAGTAACAGGCTGGGGAAATTCCTGTTTCCACGCCTAGTGACTGCTTTACGTCTCCTTTTCTTGTTTTTTGGTCTTTTACAGGTAGTCTGAGTACCTGAGGAGTTAATTGTTGAGCTAACTGCCAGCCCCTCCTTCTTCCTTGAGAAATTGAAACTGCTGCAACAAAGAATAATGTTGACATGCATTTAACAATAAGCCCATCAAACTGTCTTCTAAGAACTCAAGGCATTGTTAATGGCTAATTTCAAATTCTCTACCTTTCCCACAGACGTATCCCTAAGTCCACCCGAAGATGATGATCTGGTTGTCTTGGATCACAGTCCAACCCATTGTAAGGAAAATACTGGTGTAATATAGAATCTAATACCATACATTAAACTCCCATGAATGTTTTGGATTTTGGGAAATACGTTCCTGTATTCTGGGGTACTTATTGGCCAACTAGGCTAAGTTTATAAGATCCTAATTATGATTCTCGTTTTTTATACCACCAATATATAATACTCTTTTGGGGATTTCCAGTTTTTCTGTTACACAACCTGTCACCTCGCAGCACTGATGAGGTCTGAATGGTTCAGATGAAATATTTGTTTCATTATTATTTTTCTTATTTTTTGGCGTTGAGTTTTGGAATTTTCTGTTAGTATTAAAATTAATGTTGTATGAAGGAGATCATAGATCAGATTGTTCATTACCAGAAGTTGTAAATGAGCTTGTGTTAAGTTTGCACCGTAAATATACTGTAATTTATATACATGTAGTGATAAGAACTCCTGCAGGATTTCACATAAAGTTTAACTGCTCAACCACTTAGCACAGGTGACCAAACATTATATTGCATTATTGCGCCGACCTACATGTAAGTTTACAGGAATATTACATAAGAAGTTATTGTATGAAAAAGTAACGGACATTTCAAAAAGTACTGAATTTTTGGTTATTTGGCAGATTTATTCAAAATTTATTTCCTTTGCCTACATGACTTGAAAGTCACACTGCCTCATTCATTTGATTGCATGTAGATTCAAGTACAAGAGCTTCAATGACCCAAGGTGTTCAACCACTTGGTGGAGGTGACTTGGAAACATTTTATGGTATTGTTACCCTGATTTAGAAGTTAGACAAATTAATTTCACATAAAAACTCTTTACATTATCTTGAAAAAGTACTGGACACTTCTATAAGTACAGGTTCTAATATGTTACCTGCATAAATCAAAAATTAATCAAACTGCTTGAGTAAATTAGGTTGCAATTATGTTGATTCCCCTTCAAGAGCCTCTGTCACCCAGTTGACTAAGATGTCTCCTTTATCTGATTGCACGTAGATTCAAATACACGATCAGCTTCAACTGTTCAAAGTGTTACTGCTCAACCAAGGAGAACAGGTGACCAAACATTATATTCTATCATTAGGCGATATACATGTAGGTTTATAGGCGTATCAGTTAGGAACTTGTTGTATGAAAAAGTACTGGACATTTTAAGTATCTCAATCAAATACTACTTTGCTTACATAAATCAAAAGTTAATTAAGCTGCTTAATACATTATGTTGCAATTGACCAAGTAGATTCTAGTAAAGAAGCTTCTGATAGCCAAGGTTTAACTATCCAACACGTAGCACAGTTGAGCAAAATAATGTTTTGAATAATTATGGCATATTCTGTATGCTGGAACATTAATCTCATGTAGATCTATGTAAGAGATAAAAATTTATGTGAGGATCATAAGGGAAAGGGGAAAAAAAACCAAGGGAAAAAATAGACATGAGTGAAAGTCAGTGTGCTCTTGAAAAAATAATAATGTTAATAATTACACTTACTGGAAAAAAAAAGAACAAAAGAAAAAGACAAAAATCTACTGTTGACAAAAAAAAAAATTACAAAAATAGTGATATACCACATTGTAGCCATAACTGCAACAAAACAAATCAACATATTGTTATCCTGCTTGAAAATTTATGCTCGCTGAAATTTTTCCACGTCTTACAGGATTCTTTCAAGGGACCCCATTTAATGGAACAGGGATACAAGGTAAACACCCCGGCAAATTACATCCATGCATATAATGAATCTTGATTTTTTATTATAAGACTTCTAAATGTTATTAGCATAACAAAAATTGACCGTATCCTTAATAGGTCTCAACAGGCCACTAGAAAAATAATTGGTGGGAATTGCAAATCAACCAAAAGGCTTAGCTAGTTATAAATTATGCAATTTCAGCTTTTTTCTATACATCTGTCCTCTATGCGAACGATCAATATTAGAAGGAATGTCTTGATTTAGCTTTATTTGTTCAACTACAAAATTGCTCATGCAGTCACATTGTTTGATTTCTCTACAATATCAACACCTACACCGATATAGCTGGAACAGTCAAGCAAGACCTTTTTCCTTTTGGCCTGGGAGGTAAGCAATCTGCTCTAAAGTTCAGCACTTACATGTACCTGTTCTCTTTCGCCTTCTTTTTGTCTCGATTCAATCCCGAATTTTTTTAAAATAAGACAGAGATATTGACTCAGTGAGGGCATATAAAAAATTGGGCATATTTCAAAGGCAGTTACTGATAAAATAGAGGTCAATGTTTAAATTGCAGTTGAATGTATTTTTCTTCTGATAGGACCAACACGAAGAAGAACGTCACGTTCCGATGAAGTGGCAAATTGCCAGTGTCTCTTACAGTCATCAAGTGACCAGACATGCATGCTGCCATTTTTGAATCATTCCTTCGAAGAGGTATTAAATTATTAATAAATTATTGCTAACAAAGGAAGGCTTAATCACCTAATTTTCTTAACAGTTCAAATCAAAGTGACAATAGACAAATATTAACTATAATTTATTTACTCCCTTACTCTCCCTTTGTTATTTATTCCAGTTATGCTGGCAGGCAAATGAAGACTGCAAGGGAGTGATTCTTACCCTACTAAACAAAAGGAAAACGATTGATGAGAAGAGGAGAGATTTGTTGAGGCATGTAAAACCTTCCTTCTGTGACGATGTAAAAGCAGTTGCATGCATATATTCAAGGGAGATATTAATAATTATTATTGTCATAATTATACCAATACTGACTTTTGAAGTTTCTTACTGCAGGGTGCTTCATGAGATGGAAAATAAACACAGTGAAAATTGGTTGTTTTGGATCGGAGAAACAAGCTCCACTGACGGGTTGAAAGGTGAAGGTTTAACATCATGAAAATGATTTGTCCACAGCACAATGCCACTTACTGTATATATAAAACCTCTTTTGAAAGAACAGTGCACACACCTGCGTACAGGTGTAGTAGACTATAATATTAATAGATTTTTGCTAGGGAGTCATTAGGCCATGTGGAACTATAAGGTAACACTTATCGAATCACAAACATCTCTTTGTTTAAATAACAGGCAACTGGATTAATGACTTAATCAGAAATTATTGACAAGACGTTTACTTGTAAATTATTTATCCTTGTTAGTTATGGACATTTATGGTGGTGACCCACGCACAGAAAGGATACTTTTCCTGGTCCCGTCAGTGGGTAGAAGTCCTTCGTTGTTGGGACAGATTTCAGGTAATTTTAGAGGAGCAAGAATCGTCGTAGTCAATGTCAATAACAATAAATTTTTAAACCACTTTCAAACGGGATCAAAGCTGTCACGATCGTGTGTGTGTGTTAGAACGATATGCCTGTAATACAACAGCACGTGCTCAAGGCTTATTAATGAGTAATGTTACAGTTATGGTGAGAAAAGATTGCCATATGTCCTTTAATTCTTGAATTAACTCAAAACCCCAATACATGGAGCCTCAAACTGGAAAGCAAGGATTTTTCAATAGCTTTTACATACAGAGATACAGCTGAAGGATTAGATCTCATGAGTACCACAAACAGCTAACCTGAACAAGGATCAAACTATCATTATATCAACTGGAAGGTTCAAGTTTTATAAGACAATTATTGCAAGCAAAGAAGGAGAAGGTAGAATTAAATGAAAGCAATCATTTTCTTTTCTGTACCCTTACCCTATTTAGATGCAGACATTGATGAAGTGGGCTCCGTTTTGAAAAAAGTTTTAGAAAGGGCAGCTGTTCACCAACAACAGAGGTAACATACCTAATATGATGCAAAAGTTACACATGAAATTGAAGGAGGCTATGAAAAAAAAAAAAACAGAAAAAACAGGTAAAGTCAATTTTGAGATTTAGCTGTAAGTTATGGAAAAGCAATCCTTAGAGGCATGAAATAGCTGATTTTGAAGGTTCAGTTGTTTATTAATTTTTTTTAAATTTAAGACTACACCTTTATCAGTTACCCCTGATCTTAGCACTGTCAATAAACCAAGTAATTAAATATCACATAACAATCCTGAAGTTAGAAATCTCCAAACATGACCTTTGACATAATCTGGAACATTCTCTAGATTGCCTAATTCCATTTCCTAACAAAAAAGACCAGGTTATGCCAAACACTGATATTCTCAAGAAATAAAAAATTTGGCAAGCAAGCTGGTCCAGAAGCACCCTTAACAATAATTGTGTACATCGTTGAAGGAAAGCCCTTAGTCACTCTGCTGTCTTTTAAGCTCATCAATAAACTGAAAGCCAAAAACAGTTACTATATCTGATATTTGGCTGAATGTGACCTTTTCATTGCAGGAAAAAACGGGCAATTTCCAGCTCTATTCAAGCCCAACAGGTGAGGGAGGTTTAACAGTACATCAGTAGACATGTACTCACTTCCAAATTAATTGTACTGCTCACTGATACATTGTTGATTACACATCGGGATAACTTTTGATAATTTAACTTTTAAGTCCATACAAAACCGTTTTGATTTTAAAGCAAAATAAAATAGGCTGAATGTTGTTTTGCTTTGTTTATTTTTTCTTAACAAGGTAAGGCAGATGAGACGCCAGAGGATAACTCGCCCGCCCAAAGAAGGCTACAAAGTGATAGTGTGCGACTTGGTTCAGGGCCGCCCATTAATGTCCCGCAAATTTAGTGAAACTGCCTTCTATCAGGTACCAAAGAAGCAATAATATTGTAAAAAGAGTTTTCTGTAGATCAAGTGGGTAGAGCGCCTGCCCTGTGTTTGGGAGATCATAGGTTCGAATCCTAAAAGGGACTCAGATTTTTCTTTGCCACACGCTCTCAACATGCTGATCATTTCATTTTCACAATATTGTTATACTTTTCAATAGGCAACATCTCGAGTAAAAGACAGTATTTTCTTTAGGTTTTGAAATTGATGTAGCGTTTTAATAAATTATTAGTCATTGAGAGCACCCGAAGCATCATATCAGTAACAGGATACTGAAAGGGCCATGCATTTCCCTAATAACTTCACTTGTATTTAGCCAAAGCTAAATAAAGTAGCATTGGCAAAGAAAGACAGATAAGAAAGTAATAAATAAAGGAAATGATATTATAGATAATATTAATTCATGATAAGAAGGTAACATCGGCACAAATATCCTTATTTATCTATTATCCTAAACTATAACATGATTGGGTAAATTGCTAAGAACAATTTCTAAGGGTGCACAACTAATAAGAGGATCAATAACTATTAAAACATTGCCTGATGAGTGTGGTCATGTTATTGAAATAGCAGTGAACTACCTCCAAAGCCTAAATGAATATTTCTTTAAGTCACTGCGGTTTTTGTTTTATTTTACAGGAAGTATATGACTGGGCAGGGGGGGCTGATGAGATGCCTCTCTTTTTTACGTTACATAAAGAGTCCAGACCTACATGTATAAGTCACAAGGAGCGACTAAAGGGCCATGAAGTTTTGAGTTTTGTGGAACGTGTAAGTATGGTACATTATCATTTATCTTATCTGGATAAAGTTGCTTGAGTTTTGATAGTAAAAACCTTTGCTGAAAGAAGATTTCTACTTTATCACACAGGATGAAGCAGACATGGTTAGACTACTTGGGTCATTTGAGGTAAGGGGGGAATGCAAACAGATGTTGGCACATGCAAATGTACCATAACAATAATATCTAATAAGCTATCTAGAATCAGATATGTAAAAGAAGCTTACTAAGGGAAACAGCAGAAGGTTACTATATCTAACCCAAGGAAACTGATGTTTGAGATGACACTAAAATGTCAGCACTTTGTAAATTGAAAATGAAAAAGAAACTATTTTAGTTGTAACGTTTATTTCTATTTATTCCTATTTTAAACAGAAACCTACACCTATTAACCCCGTGAATTTCTGGACATCTAACCTTAGAGTTCTTAATCGAGCCAGGTCCTCTGTGTCCATGCTCTACGTGAGCGAGGATCTTTGCCACCAGGTTCTTGGGAACATAACCCTCGCAGACTGGGTTCTTAATCGAGCCAGGTCCTCTGTGTCCATGCTCTACGTGAGCGAGGATCTTTGCCACCAGGTTCTTGGGAACATAACCCTCGCAGACTGGGTTCTTAATCGAGCCAGGTCCTCTGTGTCCATGCTCTACGTGAGCGAGGATCTTTGCCACCAGGTTCTTGGGAACATAACCCTCGCAGACTGGGTTCTTAATGGAGCCAGGTCCTCTGTGTCCATGCTCTACGTGAGCGAGGATGTTTGCCACCAGGCTCTTGGGAACATAACATAACATGTAACACAAAATAATAAATTAATCAAAGACTGCATTTACAACAACACTGACTACCCAGTATGACCTTTGACTAGATGACTTTCCAAGCTATTATTACTTGTCATAAAAAAATATTTATGTACAATACATCTTTATAAGGGAAAGGATATCTTACCAAAAAGGTATAATAATTAGGTAAATGGGTTAAACATTCGTAAATAATGCCGGCAGGGAACGATAATAATGCATAAGCATACTCTTAATATTAAGTTAACTGAATGCCCTCAAGCAAATACCGTACATCGATGTAATAATTCTAAAATGAGTAGTTGATGTAGGAAGTTATCAAATACCAAATCCAAAACACAAGTTAACAATAAATCAACATTAAATAACCACTAAATAATTGTGAACTTGATATAAAAATGCAATTTATGAAAATACACTGAATAAATTATTACAGTAGATAACACTGTGCTACTTAAAAAAAAAAAAGTCACGCAAAGTCATAACCACTGGGAATTGCAAACAAGCGACAAGAGTACAACTAAAGATGAACACAGTCAAGACGAAAATAATGAGAAACAATGGAATACACCTGGAAAGTTGCAAAGGAATGTTCAATGGTTAAGGCATGGTTGATACACGATGACTTCTCTCAGAGCCAAAGAGCATGGTGGGGATACAAACTACCAACTAACAAGAGGTAACAAGAAGGCACCATCAAAGAAAGAAGAACAATGAACCTCCAGATGTAAATATAGAAGACTTAATATTAAGTAATAGAATTTTTCACATGGTCGAGATTGAAACAACATGTAGCTAGGAGAGGAGGCTAAAGGTTATTGGTCAACCACTACTGAGAGAAATATACAACGAGCCTCCCATCATTTCATATAAAAGAGCAAAATCGCTGGGAGATATCCTCGTTAGAGCAAAACTATAAGGTCACGTATCACACTATCACGAGCTTATGAGTCGTGTTTGGCCTGTCAACACCTTTCACTCAGTCAAAGTTTGGAATGCTACACCTCTTGCACTGTGTAGTGCTAGTAACCTTCGCGCGAGAGAAAAAAGCAAGAGAACCACTGTTCAAGCAGACTCTCAAGGTCACGTTTCACATTATCACGAGCTTATGAGTCGTGTTTGGCCTGTCAACGCTTATTTCTTACTTCTCCAAACTTGGTGTAGCTTTAGTTTTTAAGCTACAGTGTACAACTCATATCTGAAGATCGCACTATCCGTGGAAATTCAAAATCCTGCAAACCACACTATAGAGCTGGGCCCAGAGTCATACTGACACGGCAGCAAATAATCACATTCACGGACAAAGAAACTTGCATGCATGCATGTAGTTATTCAGATACAGCCATTTCGGAGAAAACCAAAAAAACTAAAATCTTTCTTCAGCCGTAATAAACAGAGGTCAAAGGATATAAAACACTTTACAACTGCATCTGAAATCAAATCCTATCAGGGACACCTACCGAAGCATAAACCACAGGAAATGATTACTCAGTATGCATGTAACAAACCTGCTTCATGACCTCTAAATATAAGATTTAGTGCGGCAAAAACAAGATTTACTCAGTCAAAGTTTAGAATGCTACACCTCCTGCACTGTGTAGTGCTTGTAACCTTCGCGCGAGAGAAAAAAGAAAGAGAACCACTGTTCAAGCAGACTCTCAAGGTCACGTTTCACATTATCACGAGCTTATGAGTCGTGTTTGGCCTGTCAACGCTTATTTCTTACTCATACATTCTCTCAAACGGCTACCGCTAAAATTGGGCCTGATACAAACTCTCAGAAGTTTGTGCTCACTGGGGCCAGATTTTGGCCGCAACGCTGATTGGCTGTTAGAACAATGCCACAAGATCTGATTGGCTGTTGAATCAACGGAAGTTGAAAGCGCTTATTCCTCGCGTGGTTGTTTTCGCGAATGATTGGTTTGTTCTGAGATAATTTATATATCCTTTGAAAAATTTCGCGATTTATTTCTTCAAGATTTTTAAAGATTTATATACTTAAAATTGGTCAAAATTGCCGAGGAAAATACAAAGGCAACAGAAAAATAGGAATTTCAGTATTTTAAATGCGAGCGCACCTAGCCAAAATATTAAAACTAGAACATCGTGTCGCCATCTTTTTGAGAACCTTTTACCTCCTACGCCAACAGAAATAACCTTCGAGATCTCTTTTAATCTCTTAAGAAGTTAAATGTGATTGTTCTTAATTTTTTTATTTTTAGTTGAAAAAATTAAAAGGTAAAAGCTATTTTTTAAGTCAGCGAGTCTGCAGTTTTTCCACGTATGAAGAATTTGCATACTACAAAAACGAGCAACGGAAGTGATTTTGGTTGGCTGATTCATCAACTGTCAATCAATCAAAAAAGTAGGCGGCAGACGTTTCGTAGAAGGTTTGTATCAGGCTGTGTTTTCGTTTCGCCTTGCCCGCCGGAATGTTATTTATTTGTTATTTACAAAGCGAAACAAAAATTGAGCCTGATCTCAGGTTATGGTCCCGTTGGCGACGTGAAACTAGTGGGTTTGGCGTTGTGGCGAAAACGTGAGTATTTAACTTTCATTTCACTCAGGTTTGCTGCGGTTAGCAACCAGAATTTTGTAGTTTATCGTTCTTAAATTGTCCTTGTTTTCTTTGAGTCACATTTCAAGCTCGATTTCCAAGGTCTGCTATCTAAACTTACATCTTTGTAATGTTTCATGTCACAGAGTCAAAGAGAATCTATCCAACGTGGCAAACAGCAAACCGTAAGTGAGCTTTACATGGACAAAATAAATTGTCGTACGAGCCAAATAATAGTATCCAATCAAAAAAAATGGAAAACCGATATTTTAATTGTGTGTTTTTAGCTCGCTATTTTCGTTTGTGTATCGTATAAATGAAACATTGAAAATTATTTAAAATAGTACATAAATGTAGACATAAGCTTAGCACTAACGCGGGAATACTGAAATAGAGTTGTTGTTGTTGTTGCATGCAAGTATCTCCCGGGAATTATTTCAGTACCAAACTTAGAATCTTTGCCAAAGAGGTAACAAAACGCATTTTAGTTCTTTAGCACTTCTTTCTGGTAGACTGGTTGAACGCTCCCAAAAGCAACATCCTTGGAAAGTGAATTAATTCCTAAGTGTCAAGCCAAATTCTGTCTGGCCAAGTTTGCTCAGTAAAAGCCAATCATCACCAGCGGATACTTCGAATTCAATTTTTTTAACCTTTTTCTTTTTGAACAGTGCTCCCTCTTTTACAGAATTGGAAAGAATTTGATTTAGTCTACTCTGTAAACCAAAACGCAACAGGGTCATTTTCTTTACACCCTGAAATTAGGAATTTGGCCTGCCCCTTTTGGAGGCTTGTTTGCCAGAGTTTCATTTTTTCTGTAACTAGAAAGATAGGAATGAGGCAGGTAGATCTTTTCTCCACCTCTAACGTATTTGTCCTGTCTGTTACTCCATTTTTGTTTGCCTAGATTGACTATGGAGTGGACCCCAGAACATGACACAGCCCTTCTAGATGAAATGTCTGTTAGTGAGGTGTTCCAGTATAGAAAGGGGACACCAGAGAGAGGTCAAGTTTGGGACTCCATCGCTGCAAACCTCAATGCTAAGGAATACCCAAAATTTAAGGTCCTCAAGAGGTCATGTAGAGACTGCTGGACTGGGAAATACCAGAAAAAAATGAAACGAAATCAAAGCATCCGGCATTGATGAGGAGGTCAATGAAATTGACACCATAATTGAAGAGCTTATCAGGAAAGAAAATGCTGCTGTTAGCACTGGTGGCGTAGACAAGAAAAAGGTTGAAGAAGTAAAGAAGGCTGCAAAAAATATCGAGAAAAGGCCATGGAACGTTTGGGAGAAAGTAGCAAAAGATGTGGGGCAGATGGAGAGGTGGAAGTGAAGAAGAAAAAGAGAAAGAGCAGTAGCGAAGCTGTGGAGTTTCTCAGAGAAAAAGGATAGTTAGACCATTCTCTCAGAGAGGAAGAACTTCAGCTTAGGAAAGACCAGCAAAGCCAGACACTGGTGCTGTTGCAGGAGCAACAACAAATTAATCAAGTTTTACTTTCTCTGATGGAAAAAATGGTGGAAAAGCAGAAAAAAAAAATAGAACAGTTCATATATCATTTCACATCAGTTTTGATTTCTATTTTAAAAGGATGTAATACTGTATTCCTACCCAAGCAGAAGTTTGTTGATATTAAAGTGTTTTGCATATGTCTTGTTTAGTAGCTCTTGCTCCCATGGGGAAGGTTATATCACAATTTGTAATATTAACACTGTAAATAATCAACTATTCAGCCTCTCCTGGGGGTCTTATTTTTTCCATTCACTTTTGAGGGGAGAGGGGAGGGCTAAGAAAAGAAGGGAGACTTAATAACTTTCTTTCCCTAAAAAAGAGGGGGATTATTTTTGAGGGGGGACTTAATTGAGAGAGGAGATTTATAGGGGATTTATGACATCATTATGTTTCCCCGTTTAAGCTTTTTCAACTAAATTAATGCAAGTGATTACTGATCATTTGCAGGTGGTTTTTATGGTATTTTTTTTTCAATTTTCAAAGAAGTGTTACTTCTGATATGCTATGACAACTAAAGAGGGTCATAATAGAGCTTTTAGTGCTCTTTTTAACAACACTTAAATCCCCCCTTTCCATTCTTAGTTATTCTTAATGTGATTCCGAGGAAGTTACTTCTTCTCTTTGTTTCTAACATTAGTATATTAACTGGTCAAGGGTAATCACAGGAACAGTCAGGCAAATTTGAAATTGTCTTATATAAGGTCCTATTTCTCTCTACCTCTAAGCAAAGGATTCCTAGAGGGAGGGAGGGAGGGGGGGGCCTCAAGCTCGAAAAATGACGAGGTCTTATTGCCATAGAGACAGGTGAGGGCATTGTGCAGTAGTGCACAGACAATACACATTTTGCCAATGCTGCTCATGCCAATTTTTAAATTGTTTTTAAAATCCAAAAACTTGAAATAGTTTATAACATCTCCAAAGAGCCACTCAACTGAAATCCTTACAGAGCTCACGGGAGTATTGAATGCTTCCATTAAAGCAGTGAGACGAGGGTTCCTGAAAGGGCCTTGTAGGTGGACTCTAAGTGGATAAGCTGGATCTCCATATATGCACATTGGTAAGCCTGCTGGTGAAAACGCATAAGCCTCTAGATCCCGAAGAAGTTTGGAATCAGCCGAACATGCCTGAATCGCGCCTCTTACCTTCTGAAAAACAAATATCAAATAGATAATTTGAAATTTCCGGGCTTTAAAATGAGTACTTTGTGATGACTAGTTATATATTTATATTTATATATACTTACCTACTTGACTATCCATATTTGCAATGAGCCCATTGGGTACAGCAACCGACTGAAACTTCAGGCCGTGGACCCTTTTATGCCCATTATATACAGTCCTCTGCTGCTCACCCGGTTTGGAGATAGGATGCACCGTGCCATCAACAAACCCAAAGCAGTTGTCTAGGGCGGCACCTTTACCTGCGATGGCAGCAGCGTACTGTTCAAGAAATCCAGGATTTAGCACAGTAGGATTCCACTGAGTGATGCGGTGGCCATGGGTGACGTAAATATAATCCATCACTGGATTTGTTGTCATACATAGCTCAGGAACAGGTCTTCCAAAAAGCGAAATCGTATCATTGAAACGACACACTGACGACAAGGGTATGACAGTCGTTTCAACAACATGCATAGTCCCTCCGTTCCATCGCATACGGTTCCTTGGTAGCATTTAAATGTTCCTGGAATTGGCAAGGCTTCGGCAAGCCTGTGGAGATCAGTTTTTTCAACACGAAATTCTGCCTTATACTTAGCTTCATCCATGCTTAAGATCGTGAACGGATCGTAACTGACCCAAGGAAAATTGGGATTCGTGGACTCATAATTTTCCCACAAAAGGAGAAACTCTTCATCTGATAACATGTTGTCTGCGTTGCAAATAAGAAATAATTCTCTTAGTTCTTTATGTGAAGCCATGATCCCTCATCGGTAGTCTTCTAAGGCGCCGTCCTTCTGAGTATTCACTGCGATCTTAATGTTCGAATTTTGGCGGGAAGCGACGGCTACCTCAGTTCCAGGATTGCTCTGCCAATCTGGTCGCCGTCGCCCCGAAAACGTCTCTATCTTAAGTTCCCTACCATCAAACCAGCTGCTGCTCCACACACAGGTGGCTCAAGCTCACTACAGGAACGCGGACGTGACTCTTGCTTGTGAGCGGTTTTGTTTTACAAACAAATATTTACAAAGGCTTGTATGGGATCTAAACGGCTTTTCTTAAAAGAGAGAAAAAATGTTATGTTTTTAAATAAAATCAACTCACCTTATTGCCTTGTTGTATTCTTTGATGTTCGCCCTCGTCTCAGGCCGTTTTGAAGCGTTTTCGGCGAGTTAGCGCTATTTTGGTGTTCCACTGCTAAGAGAAAGTCTCATCCCATACAAGTCTTTGTAAATATTCGTTCACTACCAAAATGTTACATAAATAGTGTAATTCGTAAATCTGCCTTGTATGTTTGGAAATCTTATTTATACTATTAGCTAACTAATTAACTAATTGATAAGTCACGTGACCCCCTTCTCTATATTTACCGATTCCAGTACAACAGAACCTTTTTAATACCCTCTAAAAGGTACCTTAAAGGACTTGTTGCTATTCATTATCCTTTCCCCATTTTAGAGTAAATGTTTTGATCGTAATTCTCAATTATCAGTCACGTGACGAACATTTGAGGTTCTAAAATGTCTCATATTGCTAAGGCCATTAAACTACATTTGTAGTTCAATTTCCATCCCCGATTTTTTTCTGAGGGGGTAGGGGGCGGCTGTACAGAGCCTATTTATATCGACGGTGACTTGCTTTCAAAGACTTTCTGTGGAGCACAGGCGGCCCAAGCTCACGACAGGAACGCGGACGTGACTCTTGCTTGCGAGCGGTGTTGTGTTACTCCTAAGATTAATATTTGCAACCCTTCCACGTTTAGGAAAATGTGTTTTGTGACGCCATTGACGAAGCAATGTCACATGTTTTTTTTCGTTGTGCCACATTTGTAGTTCACTTTTCAGGATCATTGATTGAAGCAAACCCTTCTAAGTAGCATTTAACAAAATATGCGTACAGTATTTAATTAGTTAGTCATGCCTAAGGGCCTGTTTATATGGAGTGGGGGACCCCGGTCTAGTGGGGTTGGTTTCTTTTGTTTTCACGCTCTGGGGGACACAAAACAAAAGAAACTTACCCCACTAGACCGGGGTCCCCTACTCCATGTAAACAGGGTCTAAGTGGCCCGAGGCGGCTGCACACATGCTAACTGTCAATGACTGACACAAAATCAACATCAACCTGAGCGATTGTCTAAAATAACGTTCACTAATGTAATTGATTCGCTGTTACCACCCATATTGTGACGTCACCATACACTTCCCTCCTTCCTGCATTTCCTGATTTACCACATTTATACCCATTTCACACTCACAAGCGGCCCTTTTCAGACAAGTCGAGATTTTTCTTGGTTTGCTAACTGCCTGGTTATACTAACCTACGGTAAGTACTTTTCTTTTTTATACAATTATGCTTCCTCGCGCAGGGCAATAAACTTTTGAAACAGATCTCTACTGATTGCTACAATAACTGTCGCTAGACTGTTCAGTTAATTTGAAGGTAATTACCAAAGGAGGAACTACATAACATCGTACTTCGGTCTAAAAATTCACATTATCTAAAACTACTGTTATAGCGCTATAACAGCCAACTAGCAAAGATTTTACCTATACGCGCTCGCTGTTCAATTTGTTTAGTAATGTCACAAATTACCGAAATTTACGTAAAAGATGATAGTGTGAAAGAGTAACTGTTTGATTACAATTCGATTGCATAAGCGAAAATTAACTTGAAAATAGTGAACTAAATTGTTCTACTGCATAAAGAATTTGAAATCCCAACTTTACATAGCATTTTTTTCGAGATATTGAAATTGATGTTTTTGTCCGAAGTTGCGCACAGGTCATTTCGCGCAAAATTTTGCGAACTTAGAATCCTCGAAAAACCACAAGTCCGCGAATATTCACCATACAGATTCATATTTGGTCTCCTTTTAAAGGCTAGGAAGTCTACTTTTCAAGAAAAATGAAGATTTATGGTGACCGATGAAGCCTTCCGAATTATTTTGCTTGAAAGGCTCACAGGCTTTATTGTGCTTCTGCCTCGCACGCAGCCTCGCGTCTTCGCGCGGCTGCTCGTTGATAATAAAAACTGTTAATGGATGGTATCTTTGCTTAACTTAAAGAACGATCTCACAGCCGGTATAATTCTCTATAAATGGTGTAGCTTCCATTAAAGCTACAACTCTTTCTTGTAAACCTGGATCTAAGGAAATGTTTAACTGCATTTGGACTAAGCTGACTCTGTCAGGAGAAAAGAAAAAAAACACAGGAAGTGAAAATATAGGAAAACGGCCAGCTTCATGACCTCCCATGTAAGACAGGCTGTTTAATAACATATGTTCAGTCAACACTAGAATCCTCCCCCGCTAGACAGAAAAGAAGAGGAAAAAGCGACATTTTAACATCCCCACTCTTGAGCGACCACCTAAGCTACCAGCAGATTACTATTTATAAATCCAATGTAGGATTTACCAAGTTACAGTGAATTTTGTCCACCTAACCTTTCGTCTTCCACGAGGAAACCGAAACCGATAGTACTGCTGGGACAGGAAGAGCATTAGTCCCGTTTTTCTTGGCAAACATCCCTTTCGTAAATCTTATCAATTCAGCCCAGGCGGGTGTGAGATAACTACTGATTGGTTTAAAGCGCGAGAGGAGGACAATAGCTCTTACATTCAGGTTAACCTAATTAGACCTTATTAACATGTTAATGCTAGAACAAAAAATGGAAAATAACATTTTTGGTGAGTTATTTTAAGATCCAACGACGCGGCAGCAACGACAGCGTCACAAAAACAAGAAGTTTATAAGCAAAACAATAAATTTGCAAGTGCATCACACCTTTTTGTACATTTTTTCGCCGTTTTTGCCCTACTACGACGTGAAAATGCCTAATTTCGCGTTTTACGGAGAAAGTAAACAAGCAACGACGAAATTTTATTCCTCTCTCTGAACTTAAATATGGTCCCATAGAATTCAATTTCAGGAGGGGTCACCTGCATTTGACAAAGTAACTGGGTAAGAATAATCACGATAAAGACTGAAAGAACTCAAATTTACTTTTTAAGCGACTATCTCGTTGCCGTCTCGTCGTTGGATCTTAAAGTCCCTATTACTAAAACAGATCTCCTATCGATAGTGTGGTGTTGTCTGTTGACAATATAGCTTTTTTACAATTTTTAAAAGAATCTCTCGGGGCTACACATTCCGGACGACCTAGTTTGTTAACTGATCCACAGTCAACTATTTATAGTAATTTTATAGTATTAGGCTTGGCAATTGTTAAGCTGACTCTTTAAGCTGGAATATCAAAACTGTTCCTACTTATTGTCCGCTTTCGGGCACTGGACTGAAGAAAGAATGAAGCTTTATTCAATGTCGGGTTTGATGAGGTTGGTAAGACCTCTAGAAAAAATTATATGTGCTAATAAGCCGAGAAAAAAAAAACCCAAAACAAATAAATAAAATAACAGAGAAGTAAAGAGAAATCGAAAAACTTATTTACAATATAAAGCCTAAAATTCCGTGAAATAGCTATTTATAATAAAAAGCCTGATTACATAGTTATTATGTAATCAGGCTTTATAGATATTACTGAGAATTAGGTAGAACCGTAGCTGGCGGAATGCTTGTTTAAAAGCTGACAATGTACTTATGGACCTTAAGGTATCAGAAATCTTGTTCCAAGTAATAGCCGCCAAGTATTTTACTAAGTTCTTGCCATAATTAACGAGTCGTAATTAGGTTTCGGTTCTTGCAGCTTGTTAACCTCTCACAGGTTTTTGATGTTGTCTCTTAACCTAAAAGGTCTCTCTAAAGAGTTTATGGTTATGTTGTGTCTGTCATTTTACTGTCCTTTTTTTAGTAGTTCCCATTCACAGAAGTAACCATGGACAGCTTTTCTCGGATCGTATTTTGCTCAGTTCTGTTATTTCAACACACGTGGTCTCTAGGTAAGAAGCGTTTTATGTTATTTTTTAAAGCTTTTCCGATTGTAAAATTTTCTGAAGCCCTAAATGTTAAGCATCTTAAATTTTGTGTGAAAAAAGAACTCGTAAGTAGGGAAGCTTTTTGCTTTTTGCTATCTTCATTTTCTGTCAGTGGTTTGGGGTCTTGATCGAAGTCGGGGTATACCCATCATGATCTATTGCAGTATTCCACCTTGTTAGACCTCTTCCCATCATCATCAAACCCACCCGATATTCGACACAAACAAGACAAAGCGTCTTGTGGAATGGAATAAAGTTTTTCCTTTCCTGATGTTGGCGAAAGTATTCAAGCAAGGGATAGGTAATCGATGCTTACAGGCCATGGTAGTGGTTTTGTAGTTCAACTCTAGCTAAAGAAGGCCTCTTTCGCCTTCCTTTCTCGGTAGATGTTTCTCTAGAAGGGCACAACCTCTTCAATTTTCTTTATCCTTGAGCTTTTTTGAGCTTTGGGTTAGATTTTCTGCTTGAATATCTCTCCGACAACTGAGGACAGGTCACCTGTCGTCCTGGGCAGCGTTAACCTGAGGTTATATTTTGATCCTGGTTTTTTTTTTTCTCTTTTTCTAAAGGATTCTCCCAAATAGTTTTCTCTATCCTTTTAAGATCATCCAATCATCATGTTGTAGACAACAAGAATTAAACTGAATTTGCTTTTTAAGCTTTCAAATCAGTGTGAATTCAAATTTTGATCTAGGCCCGGGTTATCTTAATCCAGCTTTGAACAACTCGGCCCTGGTGTTCAAGGAAACTGCCAGCCAGTTTTCTCTTTACTAATTTTTTGATGTTATTTGTACGCTCTTTCTAATTTCTTAATTTCTGTATTTCCCTTGGAATTCTCTTTTTTTGAGAACTTTGCCGCTGTGTTTTTACATTCTATTTTTGTGCGCGCGATAACTGCTGCTGTGATGTAGAGCTATGTAGATGAGCTGGTTAATTCCTATCAAAGTAAGATGGGTAGGAAGCGCTTTCTTACAGTGCGACTACTATAACCTGGGCCACTTAGACAAAGTTGACATATCGAATTACAGGAAGATAACAATAAGTTCCAAGAAAGGTGGTTGTGGGCCAATCAGCAACTCATAAAAAAACAGTTACTCGAAGCACACAATTTAAACATTGATAGCAAACGTTTTCCAAGAAAGCAAAATATTTCACCAGACGATCTTTTTCTATTCGAAACTTTACATATAACACCCAGGAGACATATTTGTTTTGTTTGACACGCTGTTTTTTGTTTTCATCTGCAAGCAACTTCTTCGTTTCCATTACCGTGCTTTGCAATAAACTGCGACCTCAAGTCAAAATTGCAACTGATCTTTACATTTTTCCCCTCTGTCACTCAATCTAACAAACCTCTCAGAAAACATTGACTATTTTCCAATTCCCCATAATACACTCTGTTCGCCCCCCAAATTTTGCATAACTTATTGTCTTAAAATGCTCTTGGGAAAATGCAATACTCCCAGGAGCATTTAAAAACAATGGTTTATGCCAAATTTGGGGAGCAAACAGAGTGTATTATGGGGAATTGGAAAATAGAGAATGGGCTTTCTTCAGCCGGTACAAGAGGTCACGTCTGTAGGTTCTGATTGGTTGATTTCGATCCATATTGTTTATTTCGTTTCGTGGTAGTTATGATTGATAACTAGCTTTCTCCGAATGTACTGTTATTTTCCTGTAATCCGATTGGCCAACTTTGTGTAGGTGGCCGTGGTTATAGTAGTCGCACTGTAATGCCCTACATCATACTAAATCATACATGATGGTTTATCTTTGGTTCTTCAGTGATATTCATGTAGAAGTTTTTTCATTAGTGAGTTATTCTTTTACCTTTCCCATTCCTAAAGTACGAGCAATTTCATGTTAGCTGTCTCTTCTGATTGAGACACTCGTGGGTTGACTCTGGCAGAGGTGACATTTACTTTCTTTAGACATAAGTCACTCATCAGTTTGCATTTGATCGAGGGTTAGTGCTTCCCTGTTCAATTCTGCTGAGAGAGTCTCAGATGCGGTCCGGGCTGCCCGCCTTGGATAGTTCCACGTCAGTGAGCCTTTTGTTCTTGATGTTGTCCAATCGCATATTCGCAAGCTTGTTTGCATCAAGGATAGGCCTGGATGTGG